CGGCTAGTCCTTCAATGTCTGAAAGCCCAGAAGCTTACAAAAGCCTACTGACATAGTGCCCTAAGAAATGAAGGGGCAGCATACTGCAGGGACAAGAACACCACCTGATGAGTAAGAATGACTGCTAACCCTACTTTCTGCTGACCTTGCTCTTCTCTGGGTCTCTGCATTCAAATCTGTCTAATGGGACCACAGTATTACCAACTCTGCCTGGGGCCACAGAGGACAGTGAGATTATTTGTGAAAGTGCTATGAACGTGGCAAGGCACAACACATCCATGTGTTATGTATATTATTGGGTAAATATTATATAGCTCATTATATATGCAGGCATAAATATATATGTCACTAGAGATAATGTGTATTTAATTATTTACTTTCCTTTTTTTACTGAATATAGTGTTTTACTGCAGAAATGTCAAAATTCCTCTGGCCCTCCAAAATGTTAAATGGTTCTTGATGATATTTCTTAATTCTAGTACTAGGATTTTAACACTATGCTTTTAATATTTTGTCATTCTATACATAATTGGCATCATACAAACAATATTTCTCAGGGAACTTCTCTGAATAACTCTTGGACCATGTCTACCAAATATCCAAAAATTTCATAGGGACTTTATCATTAATTTTTTTTATTGAAATATAAGTATTAGAAAAAAAAATATGTAAATGTGAAAGATTTTGAAATAAGACTTTTAGTAATACTTTAAATCCTATATTACAACTTAAAATTTCAAAAATTAGATTTTTCTAATCTAAGGTTTTTTTAAATCAGAGAATCTACACAGTAAAATACTGCCTTAATTTTCAAATACAAGATGAAGAACTGATTTTGTTGGCTCACTCCTATATTTCTCCAAATTCTCAGTCTTCACAAACTTGTTTATACAATTCAGACTGAAAATATTTACACTCTAATCATGATTTCCAGAAACTGATAGGATCCTCTTAAAATTTAGTTCTCTTATAAGAAAGATAGACTAATATGTAATTGTTTCATCTCTCACACAGCCTAAATGTCACACAGTCTAAATTTTTAGAGAAGTCCTTTTATTAGATTGGACAGCAATTACTGTCATCATTGAAATGTATCCTGTACAGATGCTCCTCTACCAAGAAACAGGTTAGATTTCAACAGGCTGCGGATCAGTTCCTTTGTTCTCGGGGCCGCCAACAGCATCTCTCAGAGCTGGGCAAACTGAACACACTTTGCTTTAACATAGCTTTGTTTGCACATGAGAGCCACTCAGGTGAAGATTCCTGGGAGAGGGACACCTATTTTTTCAAGTACGTCCTACTAAGAGTCCCTCTTCAGCAGAGAAACTCAGCAGGTCTAGTTTGACACAGAGGCATGTAGATGCCACAGCCTACGTTTCAAGGTACGTGCACATTTTAAGTCTCCAGGGAAGTACACATGGACAGCTTACAGGGTACCCAAATATGGTCATAAAATCACATCTCAGTTTGAGCTTATTGACTCAGAGCTGCTTTAAATGAGCAGACTTCATGCCCATCTCATTTGAGCTTATCATCAAGGAAGAGGCAAAACATAATAAGCAAAACAAATGCGGAATTATGAGCACCTAAAGGAAATTAATGCTGAAAATGGGTGAGATGCCATCTGGGGAGTTGAGGAACAAAGAAAAGGCCATTATCTATGAAACACTGATGCTGAGTTAATGAATAACAAGACAAAAAAAAAGGAGCGAGGTGCATTTTCACTGGGGCGAGAGGGTGGATGAGAAGCCGGAAGAAACTGGCATCCTTGATGGCCTTCAGAGTGGGCTTAGTATGTACTCAATTCAGACTAAAAGTATTTACACAGTCATAATGATTTCTAGAAACTGGAAGAATGCTCTTAAAATTCAGTTCTCTTTCAATAACTACAGACTAATCTATAGTTGTTTTATTTATCACATTGCCTACATTTGCACAGGCTAAATTCATCAGCACAGAGCAGGGGCCCTAACCTGCTGGCCACCTAGGAGAATAAGGAAGGCAAGCAGTGGGGAACTGTTGACAGGAAAGCAGAGAGAGGAGTTAGCCAGTGATTGAATGAAGAATAAGACTACGCAAGTGTGACCTAAACAAGTATAGCAGGCCAGACCCCTCTCCCTGCTGTAAATATCCACAGAACAGAGAAAAGCCAGTACGGAAACTACTCTTGGTTACTCACTCAAGAACATCTATCACAATACTGATTGGGTTCCAATGAATCTGATTCGAGGGGATGAGCCAAGATTAGTCTAGACCAGTGGTTCTCACACCTGGCTGTATATTAGAATAATCTGAAAAGCTTCAATAAAACACTGATGGCTGAACCCATGACAGGAAGTCTGAATCCAAGGTGCTGGGGCGAGGTGTAAGCGTCAGTATGTTCTAAAGTTCCTGGTCACTTTAAATCGCAACCAAAGTTGAGAACAGCTTTGACTGATTTTGTTCCAACTTTACTGTACACTAAATTAAAATGTAGATTTTTAATTGACTAGATCTAGGGTGCAACCCAAGATTCAGCAGGTCTAACGAGCTTTCAGATGAGTCTGTTATTGCTGGTCCCAGATCATACTTGAGGCAGACGGACCTAGTCCTGCACTGTCTGATACAGCAGCCACCAGTCACATGGAGCTGATGGGCCCTTGAAATGTGACTGGTGTGACAAAGGAACCCAATTTTTAATTTAATTTAAATTTAAAATCTGAAACTTGATTTGATTATTGGAAAACCTTTCATTATTCATGGAGCAATCTGGGTATGTGAATAATTTTTCAATTGTGACCTATGAGATCTAAATAAAATCTGTATCTACATTTGTGTATCTGATGTATCTGTATACCTGATGGAAATTTAGCATTGAAATTGAAATGTGGCAAAAGTGTAAAATATAGACTTGATTTCAAAGACTTAGTATGGAATAAAGGATATAAAATATCTCACTGGGTTCTGGTCAGTTGAGCTCAGCAATTAGAATGTTGACCATGGACCAAAGGGTCGTGGGTTCGATTCCTGATCAAGGGCAAGTACCTGGGTTGCAGGTTCGATCCCTGGCCCTGGTCAGTGTCATGCAGGAGGCAACCAGTCGATGTGTCTCTCTCACATTGATGATTCTCTCTCCCTCCTTCCTTTCCATTCAATCTAAAATTCAATGGAAAAATATCCTTGGATGAGGATTAACTCTCCCCCATCACCCCCCCCCCACAAAAAAAAAAACAAAAAACTAGAAAAGGATAAAAGGCTTGGCGCTTTGGCAGCTATTCTACCACCAGGAGGAAACAAGACTCTGAATCCTGGAGGCCCCTTTGAGTTGCAAATCAAAATAGGAGCCTCCACCTCTGAATTTCTTTTTAGATAAAAGAAAAATGAATGCCCTCATAGTTTAAATCAGAGCTTCGTAAATATTACTGTGCATGTTCCCTGGGGATCTTGTTAAAATGCAGATTCTTTTTCGGCAAATCTGGGGTGGGATCTGAAATTCTGAATTTCTAACAGGCAGATACAAGGCCCACACTTTCATTAGCGAGGGCTCAAACATGAATTAGATACTGTAGTACTTGCTGCTGAAAGCACTCTCAGGGAACACGGGAGGCAAGACCTATCTCTGCCCACTAACAACAGCTCCATTTGCAAACCGGCTGATGTTATAATCATTACTGCCCAACTGGGGGTGCAGGACATCAGAATTTGTCCCTTTCCCAGAAGATAATAGCTATTATAGGAGCAAGAAGGTAGAAAGCAAGAGCTCTGTGGTTACATGAGTTTGGAAGATGCTGGGGTCGAAGAAGGTAAGACGCTTTCTCTACTGGTGGACTTTGCGTGACACAGTCCCTACTATGGTGGTGCATGCTGTGATTTTGAAAGCATTGTTAATTGCATACTTAATTACAAAACACTTTCTTTTCACAGAGAATAGCATTAAAATAATAGGCCATGGAAAATATTTTGTGAAATGCTGCACTTTAAAAAATAATTTTTTTTCTTTATTGACTTTAGAGAGAGAGGAAAGGAGAGGAAGAGAAAAAGAGAAACATTGATGAGAGAGAATATAAATTGGTCGCCTCCTGCATGACCCCCACTGGGGATCTGGCCCACAGCCTGGGCATGTGCCATGACCGGGAATCGAATCCAAGACCTCCTGGTGCATGGGTCGATGCTCAACCACTGAGTCACACCGGCCAGGCGAAATGCTGTATTTTTTAGATCATAAGTTAACAGAAAACGCCAAGGCCTACAATCCTTGATGCTCCAGAAAATGTAGTGTATGTGGTACTAAATTTATAAGCAGCATGGAGCTTGGGGTAAAGTAATCTAGATTCAAATTGCTCACCATGCAGCACACCTCTCATTTCAGCTGTGTGACGTGGACATCCTCACCCGTGAGACAGGAGCAGAAAGCCTGCCTCCATCACAGAACTACCATAAAGATATTATGTGCTCACACTTTTCAAAATGACACTTGGATGTGGAACCAAGTTAAAACTTTGTGTATATATTTTCCCCCACAAATACACCATGGAGTAGAATGTATAACTCGCATGTAGTCTAAAGAAAACACCTGGGAGAAAATCCCAGCTTCCTGAACACTGTGGGGAAATCACTCACCTTCCTCTGCTCATAAGTGTGCTCCACAGAAAAGCCGCGTGATTGGACGTGCTTTAAAGCCAAAAAGCCCTGGGAGTCTGAGGAAGTGCGGGCTCACTACTCGGCGGGTCTGCCCACAGGGCATCCATCCCACAGATGGCCATCGCTTTCCAGACTTTGCAGTTTCAAATTGAGAGGTTAAGATATCCAGAGTGCACAAGGCTTCAAGGAACTGATTCATGTTTTTTAAAAAAGCCAAGACACTGAAGGATTTTTTAAAAATGTATTGGAGTGACATCAGTTAATGTTAAGTTTCAAGTGTACAATTCCACAATATATCATCATCTGTCTATTAAGTTGTGCTCACCACCCAAAGTCTAGTCTCCCATCCCCATATATCTGAGTCCCGTTACCCTCTTCAAAAATAGACAGGATGCTTCACAAGTGTGTGTGTCCTCCTTGAGCAGGGGCCATGCTAATCTCTGTCTCATTCCAATTTTAGTATGTGTGCTGCTGAAGTGAGCACAAAAGGATCTTTAAATGATAAAGCATTCATTTATAGTAAGAAAACATTGTAATAACTCTCAAGTGAATCATATTCTTTGAACAGTGAAATTATTTGCTGCTCAAAGGCAATGGCAGACATGAAGAAACTATTCTCTTGTGGATGGTACTGATGGCAATCTGTCCATTGTGTCTGCTTCTGTCATTTATACTTTAGAAGTCGACCTCCCTCCCCGCTAATGTCTTTGGATAAAACTTTATATGGAATCATTCATTTGTTGGAAATATATTTACCTGGTTCTTTCAATGTTGCTATATACTGAGAAGAGAAATATAAGGTAGGCACGGTCCTGTCTTGCCCATAGGTTACAAGACAAGTGAGAGATAAAGCATGTACTGGAATAATAGAAAGTTGAGAGAGTGTGCCACAAGAACCTTATGAAAATTGCATGAATCCTTTCTGGTTTAGGGTCAGTGGTGGGCAGACTAATAGCTGACTGCAGCTGGCCACTCCCTAATGCCCAGCCTCTGCAAATACACACGTTACCTGGCACAGAGGAATGCAGTTGCAGATGGCATTATGATCGCTGATCAGTTGATCCTAACATAAAGAAACTCTCCCGGTTATCCAAGTGAACCGGATGCAATCACAGAGGTCCTTAAATGGGGAAGAAGAGTAAGAAACAGAAATGACACGGGGTGAAAGACTCCACAGGACAATGACGGTGTTGAAGGTGGGAGAGGGCCACAAGCGGAGGAACACAGGTGACCTCTTGAAGCTGGAAAAGGCAAGGAAACATTCTCCTCCAGAGCCTTCAGAAAGGAACACAGCCCTGCCCACACCCTGACTTTAGCCAGCGAGACCCATTTCTGACTTCTGACCTCCAGAGCTAGATGATAATAATACGTTTGTCTGTTATAAGCCACTGACTTTGGGTTCATTTCCACAGCAGCAATAAAAACTTAATATAGGGGATCAGAGAAAACATTATGAAGGAACCAGCCTAGAAGTTGGGCCTTAAGAAATTGGAAACAGAGTTTAAATTCTCAATAAATTAAAAATAAATATATAGTCCTCAAAGTGTTAAAGGATTCACTAGGTGAGATTTATTTTTCCATCCAATGGAAAAATAAATAAATAAATAAATAAATAAATAAATAAATAATAGAAACTCTTAATACAATTTTTACTAAGTTAGTCTAACATAAAAGACAGGTCTTTTGCTCAGCTGTTGTGGCTCAGTGGACTGAGCATCGTCCCATGGACTGAGAGGTTGAGAGGTCCTGGTTTGATTCTTGGTCAGGGCACATGCCCAGGTTTCAGGCTTAATCCTCAGAAGGGGGCATGCAGGAGGCAGCCAATCAGTGTTTCTCTCTCATCAATGTTTCTGTCTTTTCTCCCTTCCCCTCTCTCTAAAATAAAAAATAAAAAAAAATAAAAAATCAATAAAAACACATATATATTTTTTAAAAGTTAGAAAAGACAAGTCTTTTTATACTCTAATGATATATACAAAAGATGCCGAAATTAAGCATTTGAAAAATATGTACTGCTCTGAAAACTTCAGGTGATTACCACATTTTATTCCTAATCTTAAAAATTTTCCCTTTATCCCACTCATAGCAAGAAACTATTCAAGTAACATGGTGTATTAAAAGATCTCCAAATTTGGTATTAGTTTCAACCAACACAGAAAGCCTCCAAGTCAAGAGAAAGCTTAAAAGATTTTTTAAAAATGCAAATGTCAATTATATAAAGAACTGCCAATGTTCAAGTGAACCTAATTCTACATGGTTGTAATCAGAGTATATATATACACAGGTGGGCAACAGTAGGTGTACAGTTGTGAGTATGCAAAAACAGTTTATTCTTGTTTATTAATTATTGTATTTATTAGTATTATTAACCTACTTTTACCTACCCTTGTGTGTGTGTATATATATGTATATATACATATATATAATATATAATACACACACGTTTTCTGTATATGTATGTGTGTATATGTGTGTGTGTGTATATACAGTAATGGGCACAGATATAGAGATTATGTAATATATATGTAATACAGACATTTATTTTAGTTTTATAATTAATAGAGCTAACGGGTCATTGATGCGATCAGAAATACGGTCCCCAACACTGTAGTTCTCAGTGTTGCAGGAACTCCTGCACTGATTCAGCCTGACTATAAGGATAAACATATCATGCTGTTGTAAGCCAGCACCTTATACAACAAAGAGTTTTCAACGGTTTTCTCGCAAGGGAAGAATAAAAATATTTCTATTAATTCCCATTGAGGAAGTGGAAGCTGCATTACCAATATGCTTCCCTCTGTGTCTCGGCCCACAGGGATCGGACCACAGAGCAGTAGAAACAGAATCAAGGGCCTGGAAAGCCTGCTTCCTCGGTAACCCCAGGGAGCCCTGGTTGGAAGCGCTCTATTGAGCAGTTTGTTTCAGAGCAGACAGGTTCAACAAGTATCAAAGGTAATTATTCAGAGTATACAACATGCAATCAACTTATCAATCCAGTGCCACAAGGAAACATTTAACTAAACAACCCAATTCCACTAAGCAACTGTCTGGCAGGATCAGAAACAGAAATGTGTCCAAGTGGAGGGCGTGGGCCACAGGCCAGGGCAGTTCTAAAGCTAAGCAAGGCCTCAGTTACCACAGTATGGGAGGGGATACAGAAGAGTTATTTTCCACTGCACTTGGAGAATGTTGTGTAATTATTCAAAAAGTTAACACGGTGTCTACGATATCTTAGGTGCTACAGTACACACGTAAAAGTTCTAAAATGTTTTGCATACCTCTAACCTCATTTATTACTTTAATGCGCTTAATGTCAACTCAAACTTACATGATGACAACCAAGCTGCACAGAGACGTGTTTAGAGTTATTTCCAAAATAAGCTTTTCAATGTCTCTTAACCTGGGGTCGAGAGAATTTAGGGAGGGGAATGAAATGATGAACTAAGATGTAGAACTTACACCTTTTGTACTAACTTATTAAAATTTAGAATTTTCCTCAATTACAGGCATAGGCAAAGAACTACAATCATATTAGCAGGATCTGTGATTCTGTCACCAATGGAAACCACAGACATTTTCATCTCACGTTACAGTTACTTGAGAAGTATCTTGTAAAGCTGTGTAGTCTCATCGCTACTGTAATAGTACAGGAGTTAACATCTCTGCTACTAGATAGTATTATGCTATGTATTAAAGATAAGTACATATTACTATATCACAATTCATAATACTTTGATAGCTGTAATACAATATCAGTGTTCTCCTTGGTGATCCTATGCATTGTATTTTATGCATTAATAGCCATTATTCTGCAAAGGATCATCACAGGCTTTCTGGATGCTAAATGAATCCATGACACACAAATATTAAGACCACCCTGAGCTTTAACAACTAGTCGATTCACTCAATCAGTTTCAAATTCAGTCGAAATAAAAGACTGAGATTATATACAAAAGAAGGAATTAGAAGTGTTTTCCCTTTTAATTCATTTATTCCTCATGTGGCAGACAGCAGAGTAAACCAAACGTTCAAAACACCAGAGCAGGTGACGTGGGAGATACAAGGAGGAAGAAAGTAACTCTGTCCTCAACCAGGCCAAAAGCCTTGCAGAAGAAGAGAACTGTAAAGACACTGGTACACAGACAATATCACTACAAGGTTATTGAGCGTTTGATTAAATAACTAACTTTTACAATTGACCATCACTGAAAACTGTTAGCTAGACTAGAGTTAAATTAAGATTTTCTGCAGAAGATTAATCTGGTAGAGCAGTTTTTAAAGGGGGCTGGAGGAAGGTTGAGATTATCAAGGAAATAGTTATCATAACTGCAACAAGAGGGAGCATGGTTTGGTGGAATGAAGTGCCAACAGGGAAACAGAGAGGTGATTCAGGGCATAGAGCTGTGTTATTTTGTGCATGGGCTCTCTCTGAGCCATCCAAAGAATTTAACTGTCAACAAGGACATATTTAGTTAGACTAACTTAATGTACATTATCATGCCATTACTTATATGTATGCACACTATATCACACAACTTATTCAAAAGAGTGCTTTCAGCCCAGTCGGTGTGGCTCAGTGGTTGAGCGTCGACCCATGCACCAGGAGGTCACTGGTTCAATTCCCAGTCAGGGCACATGCCCAGGTTGTGGGCCCGATCCCTAGTGGGGGGCATGCAGGAGGTGGCCAGTTGATGTTCTCACTCATTGATCTTTCTATCTCTCTCTCTCTCTCTCCTTTCCTCTCTCTCTAAAATCAATAAAGAAAAAGTACAAATTAATAATGCTTTCAACAGCTTTGTAATAACATGGAAAAATATTCTGTCACATTAAGTGAAAAGCATTACACAAAATTATATAAATGTATCGGTGTATGTGGTGTATCGCAAAAATGCCTCCAATCCTTTCTCTCTCTATATATCCATACCTGTATTAGTTTCCTATATCTCCCATAACAAATTACAACAAACTGGGTCATTCAAAACCACAGAAATTTATTCTCTCAGTTCTGAAGGTCAGAAGTCCAAACTCAACCTGTTGGCACAGACACATTTCCTAGGGCTCCACGGGAGATTCCATTTCTTGTCAATTCCCTTTCCTGCTGGTTGAGGCCACCTCAGTCCAATCTCTGCCTCTGTCCTCATATCACCTTCTCCTCTCCTGTGGCTCTCAAACTCCCTCAGCCTCCTTACAAGGTTGTGATTCTATTTAGAGCCCACTTGGATAATAATCCAGGGTAAATTCCTCATCTCAAGATCCGTAACTTAATCGTACCTTTTGCTATGTAAAGTAACAATCAAAAGTTCCAGGGATTTGACATGGATTTCTGGGGCAATTTTTCAGCCAAACACAACGCCCTTTGTCATGTGATTCTGTGGCTCCTCCCACCAAGCAGCAGAGTCACTCCCTAAATCTGGACCAACCCTGGGGCTGCTTTAGCCAACAGAATGCAGCAGCAGAAGAAATCTTGTGTCAGTTCCTAGCCTA